TGAGGAGCTAAGGCTCAAAGATAATTACTTAAAATCATAACATAGACAAGACTAAAATCTGACCTGTGCCCTTTGTCTCCAGATTACAGGCTCTTTATATTAATATTCTACATCCCTCCAACTATAGAATGGAGCCATAAAAGGAGAGGAAAAACAGAGAATACAAATTAAAAGAAAAAATTAAAGCCAAGTTTTAAAAGCCAGGAAAGGATTCACTGTGACGTTTTGAAAGGTTGTCTCAGTCATCAAAAATCTGAAGCCATTAGCCCTGGCTGGTGTGGCTCAGTGGGTTGGGCATCGTCCTGCAAACCAAAAGGTCAACAGTTCTACTCCCAGTTATGTCGCATGCTTGGGATACCAGCCAGGTCCCCAGTAGGAGAGGCAACCCTATTGAGGTTCCTCTCCCTTGCTCCCTCCCTTCCCCTCTTTCTAAAAGTAGGTAAAATCTTTAAAATCTTTTTGAAGCAATTATTGTGTATCAGATTGTGAATGAAAAGAAAAATGAGAAAAAATCTGCTCAATGAAGATGTATGCAGATGTATTTAGATTATAAAAAGGCACCGTGACTTCTTCCTTGCTCTCTCTCAGGTTATTTGCTCTGGGGGAAACTACCTATGTCATGAGGCCACACAAACAGCCCTAAGGAGATACTGACTTGGTTAGTTAACCGAGACCTCCTGCCAAAAGCAAGGATTCCTAGCCCCAATCAATCCTTCATATGGCTGCAGTGCTGGCCAACACTTTCACTGCAAACTCATGAGACCGTAGGCCAGAACCACCTAGCTAAGCTTTTCCATTCTTGACTCTCAGAAGCTGTATGTTATAACGAATGTTTGGTCCTGGCTGGTGTGGCTCAGCGGACTGAGCAACGGTCTGCAAACCAAGTGGTTGCCAGTTTGATTCCCAGTCAGGGCACCTGCCTGGGCTGCAGCAGGCCAGGTCCCCAGTGGGGGGTGCACAAGAGGCAAGCACACACTGATGTTTCTCTCCCTCTCTTTTTCCCTCCCTTCCCCACTCTCTAAAAATAAATAAAATCTTTTAAAAAGGCATATATCTTTGTTCTTTTAATTTGCTAAATTTTAGCAAATTGTGTTATACAATAATAAATAATACAACAGGCAAGGTGTGAAATCGCTAACTTTGTTTACATCAGATCAATGAAGTTTTGTGCCAGGAGCTATGGCAAAACCTACACCTCAGCATTAAGTCTCACAGCAATATGCAAGATGGATGAAAAGGGAATCATTTTGTCTTCCCAACTCCTACAAATGTCCATTAAAGAGTCCTGCACATAGTAAATACACATAGAATTCCCTAATTGATCCAACAAAGTAGGTACTTTCAATGTTTCCTAAAGTAAAATGACCCCTTACAATCTCTCTCAATACACATTCAGTCCCAAAATCTGTTTGGTTTTTTTTTTTTACTGTTGCCATACCTTCCTTAACTGAGCATTACAATGTTTCATGATAATTATAATTATCATGAAAACTGAGACCTATTAGAAACTTTTCCCTAAACTTGATCAAAAGGGTAGCTAAAAAGAAGAATGCTAGAGACTATAAAGAGCTGACTGCTTCAGAGATGAAAGGGGTAAATAGTAAAAAGAAGTTTTACTGAGTAAAATATTACTTTACACAAAAGTATTTTATTGCCTCAAACATACAGATCCTTAATAAATCTTGACAATAATCTCAACATGCAGCCTTCCAGAATTAATCTGATTTAAAAGTTTAGCCACTATACTAGAGGAAGATCTTCCCAGTCCAGGGAAATTGGGCAATGTCTGTCTTCCCAGTGTCAAAGCAATCTTAATTATACCTCCAAGTTTGCAACCCAGAAGGTTGAAAATCCAAATTCTGATTCACAAAATTGTAAGGCCGGTGGCCTTTGCTGAGCATTTCAAGTACACACTATATACCCTTCCCTATCACTCCATCCTTACATGCATTTTTCACTTGACAAGTACCTTTATCCCAAAAGGCTGATAAAAGTGGCTAAAAGAGGTCTTAGCTTTATCTTAAGTCATGGCTCATATTCTAGTAGGGGGCTGGGAACAAAATATAAAAGAGATAACCACAAAATAGAGGTCGTTATTATCGACTCACATAGGTAAAAAGCTAAGAGTTCTTTCATATAATGATTCAATAGGTAGAACTAATTTGTAAACTAAAAAATTTGAGGCATTTTAAATTCTAAAAGTGTAGCCTCTGTAATTAACTTAGAAAGTGCTAACTTTTTGAAAAATATTTAAGCTTAGACTCAAAGTAAAACCAGTTTTTAGTGTTCCTGCACCACTAAATATCCTCTCCCTAAGAAAATTCAATTATCTGTATAACCAAAGCAAGAGTAAATTACCTATCAATTTGAAGATTTTCTAACTTCACCAAAATAAACACACGAATACACTTACACTGGTTTTGAATAACTCTCTCCTGGGGAAAAGAATCACTGTTTTTTGTACCAAGTGTTATTTAATCATTTTATAAATTAAGTCACTTTTTCACCATACAACACTTCAATACATGATTACAAAGTGACACCTTGGATCACCAGCTTTAGGATTTAAGTCTTTATGCTTAATTCTTTCTCAAAAAGAAGCTCTTACAGTTAAAGATATTTAAGATATTTCAACAAATTCAAAAATATGTTAAACTCAAAGATACAATCTAATGTCAAAGTGACAGAAAAAAACTGAACAGGCCTCCTAAAGAAACAGTACGATAAAATCGTTGTGATAGGATTGCCTCGAGTTTTTAAAAAGCACTTTAAAACCACAATATCCTTTCATCAGTTACAAAAATAAAGACTTCCTACCATAAAAATCAATCTATAAAATTCACATAGATTGGTGTAATCTGCAGGGCAGTTGGTAAGAATCATGAATCCTTTCCAAATTTAAAATTAAAAAACAAAAACAAAAACCTCCAAAGGCAGCAAGGGGCATTACAGGACATCACAGATTTAAAATTATCAAGACCACAACCAGTTTCTCTAAAACTCGAGGCTTTTCATACAAATGATAAATCTATTACTCTGAACTGGTAGAATGACTACAATATTTTGTAGTCTCTAATGCTTAAACATTAAGGAAATCAAGTATGCTTAGTTATCAAATTTTAACCTTATTTGGACTTGTGGCACAAATATCTTACTCCTCACTCTGAATATGATGCAAAAATTAGATACTCAAGCAAATATCTAATAAATATGAAATGAAGCCAAAACTCCACTTCCTAAAATATTACTTATCCAATAATTCACTGTCTCCTAAGAGGAAGCAGGGGACAGATACTACCTGAAACAATAAAAACTGACACATAGCGTGTTATTAAAGGTGAGTTATTCTAACTCTTGTGAAGTGGAAATATCAGGAGACTTAAGAACCTTTGTTCAGCTCCGTCACTACCATTCTACACTTACTGTTTTAGGAAGACACTCAACTTGCTTCTTCATCTGTTAAATGGAAAATATCAATAATACCTATCTTGCACTACAGTTGAGAATGAAATAACTGCAACACTTAAATTGTGCAGTGCTGAACAGATGTAAATGTGTGTGTGTGTACACTAAGTAAATAAAACTGTGGAAACTATATCAACTTTCAAATATCTACCAGTACCAATGAAGGAGGATATAACAAAATGATAAATAACACATGCTTCATTGTGCAGTTCACATCAATTTTTAATTTTCTCAAAGGCATTCTCCTTCCTGCCATGCCTGTACAATTCTGTACAATTTTTCTAAGGTCCGTACAGTCCATTTGACCCCATCCCAGATGTCTGACCTAGACATTAAAGTGCCAGATTCTAGCACTGTACCTCCCAAATATTTAGGCGTTGCATTCCATATTACTACATTCAATTTAAAGCAAAGTGTTCATTTTTATCAGTTAACAACGAAAATTCCTATCACTTCAGAATACTTAAGAATTTTAAACCCAAGTCAATATCAATTGCTGAAAATTCTACTGCTCATCAAAACATTAACAAAATAAATGCTATTATATTTTAGCAGCATCATATGCATCAAGTAGTTTTTCAGAAGTACATTAAAAACCAATTAAAGTATGAAGTTTTCCAAAGAGATCAAAAGTAGTAGTAAGAATTGAAACATACTACTGCAAAATTGTAATGTCCCGAAAAAATGAGGCTCATTTGTCAGCTTTCCCAAACTTCAGAAAAATGCTAATTCCTTCAGAGATCTCTCCAGTACATGACTTTAAATACTATCATCTCAAATCGTAACTCTCAAATTGAAGCATTACTAAACAGATATTAAATCACAAACTACACTGTACCTTAAAGACTGTATTTTGTTCCGATTCCAACTCTACTTCATTCCGCAAAGTTATTTTAAAAGCCATCAATTCATTTTCCTTTTCTACAATGATTTGTTCGTTTTAAACTTTCTTTCGGATATGATCACAAAACAAATAGAAGTTATTTAAATCACTTTGGAGACCTTACTAACGAGTACACAGGAGTTATTCTGGAAACACTGATTAATTATAAACGAACAGTCTTTCCTAAGTAGAGAAGAGTGATAGTTGGGGTCTCCTCCCTGAACGGGGAAGTTCTGTTAAATCCAAGCGAAACCAGCCATGTTGGAAAACACTTGTCAATTCTAGTTCTGACAAGTGTTCGCGAACACGGTGGAAGCTAACCTTGTGTACTGAGGTGTGTACATCAAGGGCCTCTTCAGCTCCGACAGAGGATCTGGGCCTACTGTGGGGGTTCTTTCCGAGTTAGAGCTGTCCTTAGGTCTGTACGGACTGCAGAGCCAAGGGGAAAGAGGACGCGGAAAGGGGAGTTGGGGGGAAAATGGTTTGAGAGTTTGAAGCCGCTATCCGCAGCCAGAGGGGCGGGGCGGCCGGGAGAGATTTCCGAGTTGAGAGCCTGGGGGAGGGGCCGAGGATTCGGGGAACAGGGGGATCTCAGCAAAAAGTCCCCTTGGCCCAGGAGTGCAAGAGAAGGGAAGCGCTTCAGGGCACCTACCTGTCCTCCGAGTCCATGCGGCTGAGGGGTTCCCCATCCGACGACATCTCCAAGCTGCCTCGCCGGCCCCCGGAGGTCGCGCTGCTTCCGCCTCCCCCGGTCCCGTAGCCCTCGTCGCCGCCGCTGGAGACGACGCTGCTGCTACTGCTGCCGCCCCCGCCGCCGCCCTGGCTGCCCCGCGGTCCCTTGGGTTCCTCCAGGCCCTCCTTGCCGTCCCCATCCCCGCTGCTACTGCTGGCTGCGCCGGGGCTCAGCGAGCGTGTCTCGTCGCTGCTGCTCCCGCCGCTGCTGCCCACCAGGCTCTCAGCGCTACTCTCCTCCTCGCCACCGCCGCTGCTGCTGCTCTCGTCCTCCTCGTCCTCCTCCTCGTCCTCGTCCTCATCCTCCCCGGCCTGGCTGGCGCTCTCGGGGCTCGGCTCCGACATCGTCTCCGCCTCGCCGCCCCCCACTCCGCCGCCGCCTCCACCGCCCCCACCGCCGTTCAGCAGCAGCGCCGCCACAGCCTCGGCCTCCGCCTCCTCTTCCTCTTCCTCCTCTTCCTCCTCCTCCTCGGGGGGCTCAGCCCGGCCCCGAGCCACTGAGCCGGGGCTGCCAGGGGGCAGAGGGCTCAGGCGGGAGAGCTCCTCCAGGTCGGCCATGTCGGTGATAGCGGCGGCCATGGCGGCGCCTGCTCCTCCTCCTCCTCCCGGCCGCCGCCGCCTCCCTCTCTCGACTCTGGCTCCCTAGCCCCCTCCCAAACGCCCAAAACTCGGCCGACGCCGCTGCAGAGCAAGAGGAGGGCCCGCGAGCTGCGTCAGCCTACACACGCGCTACGGAGCCCGCGCGGGGACAGCACACACGCGGAGACAGCTGCGCGCCTGCGCGGAGACGCGAAGTGGCACCTCCCCCGGCCGCGGGTTCCGCGCCCGCACCCCCACCAGGGTCCGGGCTTGGCCTCCGCCCCGCCCCACCCCTCCCCTCCCGCAGAGGGCTCAGAGTTTCCTTCAGGCCTTCCCACGCTTTCCCGGCCTCGCAGCGGGCGGGACACGCAGAACGAAAACCTGAGTGCGGGTCGGGGATTTTAACAGCCCTCCGAGTTCTCATGAGAAAGTCATTACTTCCGGGGGTGTTTGGGGAGTGTCCCCAGGGGACAGGCACACAGCCAGAAATCGGACAAGTCCCCGGTCTTCTGTGAGCTTACAATCTACGAGGAGAGGCAATTAAAATGAGTAGCAATAAATAACACAATGCAAGGTACTAAATCCTTATGCACCACACTGAGCCACAGGTTTTACTCTAACCTGCCTGTGACTTCCTCGGGGAATAGTTAAATCACAGTCTCAGAGCAAGCACATCTTTAATGTTCTATGTCTTCAAACTTTTTGGCTCATGAGTCCTTTAAAATAATTTTGGACATCCTTACACAGTTTAAAGTGACATCTACATTTTTTCCAGCTTTTTATAAGTATTTCATAACTCACACTTTTTAACATGTAGGCAATGAATTCTAAATTCCATAGAGATTTATTAACCACTAATACCTACTTTTTAAAATACAATTGTTTATACTTTGTCAATTTTCATCCTTTATCTTTTGGAACTAATCTTTGCTTTCCATGTCCCCTCCTGAGTTTTATTCCTTTTAGTAAGCATGTGTATATAAATTGAAATTTAAGGGTAGTTTTTAAACTACCTGTGATCATAAAACTGTCTTATTTTTTCAGCTGATAAAACAAATATATTGCAAATATTTGAAAGTAAATATTAAAAAAATAAAATTGTGTTGGAGATGCATGTTACAGAGATGGAATTTTTTGAATTTTTTGTAAATTCATACAATTTACAAAAGATGGAGGGAGAACTGGGAATCAGGGAGGCTTACACACTCTGACCTTGGGGCATATTTTCAGGCAGATCTATTTTAGGGATGGCTACCTAAGGGAAGTGAGGTTCAGAGAACTGTTTGCTTTAAAACAGATTTTCCTCGCTTACACATATCTTGGAAAGTCATCAAACAGCTTGAGTACCCCAGTATTGCATTTGCTGCCTTAGGCCGTGGCTCAGCTATTATATGTTGTACATGTTGCTTCAAGGGAAAGCAAAAAAAATAAATAAACAAGAGTGTGAGGCATTATGGTATACAAATACCTTCAGACATATTCAATGCAAATTACTAACCTCAAACATTTTTACCTCAAAGCCACTCTTTGAGATAGACAAAGAATGTATTGTCCTCTATTGTAATTTAAGAACTATTAGAACAATGATTTTCAACCTTTTTCATCTAATGGCACACTAATTAATAAAATTATGTGGCACACCAAAAAATGCCATTTTTTGCTAATGTGACCCCCCCAAAAAAAGTAGGTATAATTTTGATTCATTCACACAATGGATGGCTATTGTTGTGTTGGCTGTTGTCATTTTTTTTATCTGACAATCTACGGGAAAAGAGGGCAGTGCCCCGACTAAACAGTCAGGTATTGGATGTTTTAAAAATTCTTGCAGCTCACTAGTTGAAAATTGCTGCAATGGAGAATTTAACTGAAAGTGCATACTGTGTTAAATGTATGTGCCAGGCACTGGGGTAAGCCCTGGAGATTAGGATTAACATTTGGCTGTTAATCAAGGAAAACTACATGAAGAATGTAGGATTTGAATCAGTGTGTGTAGTAAGATATATAACTGCATCTAAACTTATTTAATTTAAGCTTGATCTTGAAGAGTGTATAGAATTGAATTCTGTGAGAGGGGAAATTCTAGAACTGAGAAGCAATAACAGGGAAAAGCATGAAAATTTTTTGTGCTTGTTAAAAAAAAAGCAAAGCTAGAAACCAAAAAAAAAAAAAGTTAAAGATTAGATTGCAGAAAATTTTGAATAAAAAGTTTGACTTTGAAAAACAGGCATATACCAAGGTACATTTTAAAAGGTGTGGTATGATTAAAGTTATGTTGTAAAGGTATGTAATGTATAGGAGATACAGTGAAAAGAGTGAACAGTGAGTGGAGATTAGACACGTGGTAACGGCAGGTATCGAAGCTGCAGATGAATGCAGGAGCTGCAGTCACACATTGAAGAGTAAAATGAGCTATCTTGAAACTGGCTTTTTTTGTAGAAAAAGGCACTTCCTGTCACTGGAAATTTTTTTAAAATTTCAAATTCTGATTACCTGAAAGAATTGGATAATAAACACCTGTACACCTGCGTAGACTCATCAATTACTAACATTTTGCCACGTTTGTGCAGGCTGTGTCCCTCTGTCTCCCTCCTCTTCTCTCAGGTCTCTTCCCCCTCCTACCTCTCCCCACCGCCCCTTTGCCTCTCCCCACCCTCTTCTTTAGTTGCAGACATCTTATTCTGTACACATCTATTTAGAACAAAGGCGTTCTCCTGCATGCCCACAGTGTCACAGTGTCCTTATCCCACTTGCTAATGTGTGTGGCTAGAGGCAGGACCTCCAGGTGATGGAGCTTTTCCAGGCGGCACCAAGTGAGAAGTCCACACAAGTGCAGGAAGCATGGTCCGCAGCCCAGTGCCCACAGGGCCTGTTCACCGCCAGTCTGCAGTTAGGCATGCATTGAAACAGTTTGGCACAGCTTGGCAGAGTAATTTGATGTCTGTTGAATCTAATAAAAATCAGGACTTATGTTTTTTTTATTTGATTATTTTATTATTGCAGTAACTCACTTGTACATATTTTGCAAAAATATCAGTCCACAGGAAAAATTTTTTAAAAACTTGTTATTCATAGACTGAGATTTACTGTTCTGTAGTTCCTCCTTCTGGCTTGGAGAGTGTGTGATTCCACCCATCATTATAAATTACCCAGTAACATATCATTGCATGAGAGCTGTTTGATTACGAATATCATTTAGACTCACTGACCTCAGCACGAATGGGTCAGACAGAGCAACAATTACCAGATTTCACTGGTTCTCCTACCTACCAAGCCTACCACCTTAGTGAGGATACCTCCAGCTTTCTGAGAGCCCCTAGTTGGCGGGGAGGGGTCCTCATAAGCTCAGACACTCCTCTCTCCCAGTGCTCCCTCCTCCACTCTACTCTTCTAGGTACTGCAGACTCCTACCAGGGACCTACGATACGAACAAAACAGCCAAAGCCATGGTGTAGCCTGAAGGAATGGAGATCATTGTGTTGACTTCTTTTAGGGGAACCCCAGAGCAGACTGCTTGCGCCCAAGATCATATACAGTTTTCAGTGAAACAGGTCTTTGTGTTTTTACTCAGAGCTCCACTTCTCTTAGGAACCCAGACATGCTTTCATGGGTCTAGATTGGCGACAGATTTGAGTAATAGCTGCCCCAAGCTGTATTTATTACTCCCCATCCAATGACTGAGTCTTTCTTATAGGGCTTCTCTGTCTAATTCTCTCTACCACTAAAATGAGCTCTGTTCTAGGAAGCAGTCTCAGCCCCTGTGTCAGCAGGTCTCCTTAGTCCTGACTCATAGTCTGCCAGACATGCCCAAACATACTGGAATCCCAGCAACAGACCCAGTTTAGATTCAAGCTGAGATTCCTACCACCTGTGAGATAGCTCACCACACATGAGATACTTCCGAAAACTTCTCTAAAATATGCAGCTATAGCCCATTTCACACCTATATTTCAGGTTCCTCATTCTGCATTTTGATAATGCCATACTGAGAAGGATGAATAGCAGCGTGATGACCTCATTCTCTGATTGACTTGCAGTCTAAAGAAAGTATGCATGAAAAGACAGAGCATCTTACAGAAAGGTGAAATGATAGGATCTTAATGCTGGAAAGAACTAGAAATCCGATGAAAGCTTCCCCAGCTGGTAGGTTGCAATTTGAGCAAAATACAACAATATAATGATTAAGTTTTTGAGTTAGCAATATTCCTGTTCCTACAAACATTTTGAGACATAACTACTTTGGCTGGTAAATTTCCATGGTAAGTACACCATGTGCATGTTTGATATTTTAGATAGTCTCTTGCTGTGAGTTTAGTAAAGGCGTTTCCTTTAAGCTGTCGATGAAAGGGTGCGTAAAATGTGAAAGGTGAGTGACACACACACCACATTTTTTACCCTTTCATGTGTTTATATCTGGCTGGCAAACCAAAAAATTTTTTTCACTACAGCCCTGGCTGGTGTGGCTCAGTGGGTTGAGTGTCGGCCTGCAAAACAAAAGGTCACTGGTCTGATTCCCAGCCTGGTTTGCACGTCAGGTCCCCAGTTGGGGGCAAGGGAAAGGTAACCAACTGGTAAGGCAACCAATCCCAATTGATGTTTCTCTCCCTCTCCCTCTCCTTCCCTTCCCCTCTCTCTAAAAAATAAATAAAATCTTTTTGAAAAAACTCTCCATGATGAAAATTGAATTTGATTCATTATTATAGCATATGAATTACAATTTCAGTTAATACTTTATCTAATCTCTAAGAAAGTCAGGGAAGAATCTAAACATAACATTTAATGGGTGAAATATTTTAAAAAGCCTATCAGCAGTTTGGTTAAATTACCTTCACTTCAAGCCAAAAAAAAAAAAAAGAGAGAGAGAAAAGGCAACCTACCCTCTTCCTTTATTGAAGTATATATAGCATCTATTTTAACTACTAACCTTCCTCATACCCTTTCCCCCCACTCCTCTTCCCTTTCTCCCTTATTTCATTACTTGTTTTTATAAACTTCGTAGTCCTTTACACATCTTGGTAAATTACCTCAAATTAGTTTTTTAAAGTGAGTGAGTTGTTTCGTTTTTGCCTTTGCAGAACCTGTTAATCCGCCACCCTTCTTTCCTCCCGCCTTGTGTATCTGCTGGGCAAATGACCTCCCAGCATCACTTACAGCCAGGTTTGGCCATCTGACTAAGTTCTGACCATTGAGGGGTGAGCAGAAGGCATCACA